CTGACTGTTACCAGTGAGGCATCCTGCCAGCCATATGGCCACGCTTCTTCCCACTGACATGCTCCTCCTCGGTATCAGCTGCAGAGGGGATGAGCTGGCCGGCTGCTTTTGTCTCTGCTTTGGATCCCTCCTTCCCCTGAATGCCTGATCGTCCATAATGGAACTTGGGTCACCATTTAAAAAAAAAAAAAAAAAAAAAGGGACAACTGTGGCAGAGGGATTCAAATAAAGGAGGGCCCATACAGGCAGCACAGTCACTAACACAACAGCCCGGTGAGGTCAGTACTCTTATTGTCCCCATTTTACAGACAAAGAAACTGAGAGGATGAAAGCTGGGCAAGGTCTCACCATGGCTAGCAAGTGGCATAACCAGAAACTGAACCTGCGGCTTCCTTAAACCACAATCCATGCTCAGCCTCTAGGCCACGCACGCTTTATAGTTTAGATCTTCATGACTGACATTCCCTTCTCTACAATCAAGCATAAAAAATAGTCAAATGGGCCAGGTGTAATGGCTCATGCCTATAATACTAGCACTTTGGGATGTTGAAGCAGGAGGATCGATTGAGCCCAGGAGTTTGAGGATGCAGTAAACTAGGATGGCACCACGGTACTCCAGCCTGGGCCACCCCCATCTCTTTAAAAATAAATGGTCAACCGAACCTTGAACAAGAGCCAAAAATAATTTTCCTTAAGAGGCTTTTTGTTACTAATCATAAATATAACCCCTACTTTTTAGAGAGTGCCCATGGAATGAAAACCACCAGACTATCTTGCCTCTTTAATCACACAAAAGTCCTGAAGTAGATAGGATGATTTTTTCTCGCACATGTGGAGTAATATGCTCCACGTCCTACAGCCAGGAACGGAACACTCATCTTCCACATCTGGGATGAAATTCACTGTAAACCCTCAATTCAGTATTCTTTTCCCTAAACCCAACTGTCCATCAACCTATCTGTCTTCAAGCAGAAGGCTCTGTGGAAGAGCCCATGCCAACCCTATTAGGTGGTCTCTAGATTAGTGGTTCTCAACAAAGGGAGCCTTTTGCACACACATATGCACACACCACCACCACCACCACCACAAAAGAACATGTGGCAATGTCTGGAAACACTTTGGGCTGTCCCAACTGGAAGCTGGGATTGCGATTGACAGTGCTACTAGCATCCTGTGGGTAGAGGCCAGAGATGCTGAGCTACATCCTACAATACAATACACAGGACAGCCCCCACAACAAATCATCTGACCCAAAATATGAGCAGCGCCAAGGCTGAGAAACCCTGCTGTAGACCCCACCTATGTCTTTGCAATTTCCTCATGGTCTTGATATCATACAAACAGCATTTCTTTATCAATCAATACAATAAAGTAATACTTACTCATTTGCATTAAAACTGAGCATGACTAATTTTTGCAGCTAATGGACCCACCAGGGCTGGCCAGAATAAAGGACTGGGCTGGAATTCATTGCATGAAATAGTGCTAAGATCACTTGAGAGATGTGTCCGTCCACTTAAGATTACCAGGAGGCTGCTATGTGCCAGACCCCGCACTAGGATCTGGGGATGGCGTCAGTGGGCAGGAACGCTCTGTGCAGGACCTCCTTCTGTCCCCAGAGGACACACATCATCTTACTGAGTCACCAGGTGGTCCATGGGACATTTCCAGGCCCCCCACAACAGCACATTCTCTTCTTTCAGGACCTCAGGAGAGAGTCTCAAGACAGAACAAAAGGAGACCTGGGAAGATGGGTCACTCAACTCGGAGAGGAGGCCCTGAGGCAGGCCCTGCTCAATCCTCAGATTTTATTTCTCAAATCCTAAGGCATAATAACCACAGTTAAAATGACAGTTTATACAAATCTCAGCATTGGAGATGAGTTTCATTACAGGTTTTCCAAAGCCACTTCAGAACAGCCACTACCTAAACAGCACTCAGGACAGGAGAGCCGATGCCCAGCTTCAAGGAGGGACTGAATCTCACAGTCTTTCCCACTGAAAGACAATAAAGCTGGGGGCTCCAATACTTAAAGCAAAATGAGGCACCAGCTGGTCAGGCAAGTCAGAATTTGAACCCAGCTCTACTGAATGAGAACTTTCAACACTGACACCAGGTGGCTATCACTCATCCTGGTCAACAGTACATGGTGGACCTCAGAAAGCTCTGGACACTCCCTGGGCCTCAGTTTCAGCAGCTGTAGAATGGTTAATCATGTCCCCTATGGCAACCTTGGGGGCTCTTCCAGGTCAAGGGGGAGAGGTGAGTGACATCAGTTTCAATGTATGAAGATGTAAATTAGGTGCTTTCCCACCACTGGCTGTGTAGTTGCCTGCAGGAGAAGCGTTAATGAGAGTTGGTTGTGGGTCAACAAGAACAGAACGACACTTGATTTCTTTCCTGGCATCACAGGCAGACGAACCTAGGTTGAGATGCCAGCTCTGTGACCTTAGGCAAGCCATGGAAATTCTCCGTGATCCCTTCCACATTCACACAATGAGGATAACACTTCCCAACGGGCAGAACTGACAGGCGAAAGTGTCTGACCAAGGCAAACATGGCCTTGTGAGTCTTAAGAGCCACATGTAGGGAGTTACAGAGCTGGGGACATGGGATCACACTCTGAGGGCCCAACATCTGTGGGCCTGGGGACCTGGGACTCAGGGTGCCCTTGGGAAGGGAGTCGTCCCCTGACAAAAACGGGCCCACAGGGCTGGTGCCCTGCAGGCTGGTTCAAAGAGCCAAGGGCCCTAAGGAAGTCAAAGGGGATGGTCTCCGGAAGGAGAGGCATGGCCCACTTCCCAAAAGAAAATTCCTACCCCACATCCATGGCCCAGAGCTGAGCTGGTGCTGGACGAGGGGCTGTGCAAGAAAGAGGGGCCCCTCAGGCCGGAGAGACACTGGTACCAGAGCAGGAGACTGAGTGTGGCCTGGAAAGACATGCATCACCCTAAATGAGAATAAAATTTGAAAAAGGCATGATGATCACAGTGTTCACATATATACTATAACACCAAAATAATAATAAATCTATAAAAAGTAATGCCCAAAAATAGCAAGCTGGCTAAATAAAGCATGACATTTCTACCACTAGAGTAATGACAGCAAACATTTACTGAAGATTTACTATAGACCAGATACTATTAAGTTGACCTTTTATAGGTCAACAATTCAATGCTGCCAAATTCATATGGCTCAACATAATATTTTAAGTGCTTTACATGTATCCATTCACTTAATCATCACAGCAACCCTTCTGAGGTACTGTGTCAGAATACCTGCCACACTCCATGCCAATCAAAGAGATGTCCATGTTGGAATTTCCTGCAACCTGTGAATATGTTGCCTCCCATGGCAATGGAACTTCCTAGATGTGATTAAAGCTAAGGACCTTGAAGTAGGGATTATTCTGGATTACCAGCGTGGCCCCAGTCCAATCACATGAATCCTTAAAATTAGACAATCTTTTCTAGCTGAGATCACAGAAGTGAAAAGAAAGAGGGAGAAGAGATTTAAATCCTAAAAGGAACTGGACCCACCATTGCTAGACTTGAAAATGGAAAGAGGAGGCCATAAGCCTAGAGGGAAAGCTTCCAGAAGCTCAGTGCAACTGGACAGCCAGCAAGAAAACAGGATCTCAGTCCTACAACCTCAAGGCAACGAATTCTGCCAACACCCAGGATGAGCAAGGAAACAGACTCTCCCCTGCAGTCTCTAGAAAGGAAGGCAGCCTACGGGCTCCATGTCTGACATCTGCCCTAGATAACTGGACATGAGCCGGGCACAGTGGTTCACACCTATAATCCCAGCACTTTAGGAAGCCGAGGTGTGAGGATCACTCAAGTCCAGGAGTTCCAGGCTAGCCTGGGCAAGATAGTGAGACCTCGTCTCTACAAAAAATACAAAAAATTAGCCAGGCGTGGTAGCTCACGCCTGTAGTCCCAGCTACTCTGGAGATTGAGGTGGCAGGATCCCTTGAGCCCTGGAGGTCAAGGCTTCAGTGGGCCAGGATCAAACCATTGCACTCCAGCCTGGGTGACAGAGCAAGACTCTGTCTCAACACCGTCCCCGCTCCCAAAAAAAAAAACTATGCATTAATATATTATGGTGTATAAATGCTAAATTTGTGTTAATATTTTATGGCAATCATAGAAATTAATAAGTGGGATAAAAAGCATTCGTAGCCACACTTGGAGGCAGATGAGAATATGAATCACAATGCCCAAGGTCACTCAGCCATCAAGGAGCAGCGCCAGGTCTGACCAGCTCCTGGGACCTCTGGCCCTGCTGTTCTGCTCTACAGTCTCATGGAAGAACAATTCCAAATCCATTTCCCACATGGCAACACAAAGACTGTATTTTGGGCTGACTCTACCAAAAGTTAGGCTTTAAAAAAAATGCAGTTATTATTTTCAGTAATTAAAATTGTTAAAAGATCTTGGCCTGCCCAGGCCTGGATGATGGCAATAAAAATGTGGCTAGAGATGAACTAGCATAGGGGTTGTGGGGCGGGGTGGGGGGGAATAATGAGTCTAAAGAGACCAGGCCTGGTATTCAGCAGGAACTCACTCACCTGCAGTGGTTTTGTGAAAGGCTGAAATGGTCCCATAGCAGCGAGTAAACAAATGCCTCCCCATGAGGGCAACTGTTACCCCCCTGTGTCTAGGCATGTTCCCTGGGGGAATATTCTCTCACACACCTCCACAAAATGCAGGGTTCAGGCCTGACACAGAGTCTCAGAACCCGGCATCATGTATCCCAATGCCTCAGACTCGAATATTTGACCATCACCCCCAAGGGATCAGAAAGTTAGGAAAGTTAGAAAACAGCGGGCCCAGCAGGCAGGTGCCTTTGGACTTACCTAGAAGAAAGGAAAAGCTCTGCTTTGGTCAGGCCTCTAAAGATATGGAAAGTATGTGGAAAATGTATAGACCCTCAGGCCTACTTCAATCATCTCTTCATCTTCTCTGTTAGCACATGGCCTCCGGTAAGCCACTTACCTCTCCAAATCTCAGTGTCCTGGCTGTAAAATGGGAACACCAAGGGAGCCATGTGCCATGCAGCTCAAAGGGAAAATGATTCAGCCTCCACTTAAAGTACCATCACCATGGCTGTATGTGCCAAGGACACCTGTGCCACCTCGGGAGAAGGCTCCAGGGAGTGTGGTCAGCTGCAGAAGCAAAAGGTATGAGTGTCAGTGCCCTGGAGTCAAAGGCAGGCCTCACAGAGCACAGCACTGCCAGGGACTCGAGGCTTTGAGAGACCCCGCACCCGGCTCCCGTGCTGTCTGACATGGCTTTTCTCCAGCACCTCCACCTGCCGGGCCATACCCTGTCCACCTCTGCTCCACCTGAGGTCCTAGGCCCCCATCCATGAAGTCTGTGTGCCTTAACCATCCCATATCAGGGTGCAGGGCTACGGTGCTGGTTGGGAAAGGGCCGTAGCCCCACCTTTGTACATGGAACCCTTAAAAAATGTTGGTCAAATGAGAAGGCAGGTGAGGATACGGGAGAAGAGCCACTGGGTTGCCAAGACAGACCCCAGCTCTTTCTTCCTCCATAACCACAAAGCCTTGGCCTAGAGAAAGCAGAAGCAAGAAGACCCCTTGGTCCAACCCTCATAGTCCAATTTAACTTCCCAGATGGAGAAAGTACACACCACAAAAGGGAAGGGGCTTCTGTGATATCACCCAGAAGTCTTAAATTGCTGCATCCCTCTCAGCCTCAGTTTCCTTATCTATGAAATGGGCATGCTGCCCTCCTGTGCACCTCACCAGAGGAAGGACTGCTCCAAGGAGACGCTCAACAAACCTCCCTGTGTGAGCATACATTCTGCCACAGGATGACTGCAGCATCGAACAAGACCCACTCACTTGCCACACACAGACCCTGGGACAGAGGAACGCAAGGGCAATAAACCTAAGATTTTGGACGTTAGTAAAAACAGACTGGAATCTTCATTCATTTTCAGGGACACTTCAGTCTTTCTCTTCCGTGTGACCTGGTGCTGCAGCTTTGAAAACGAATGGCATTTCTTTCTAAGGTGTCATTTTTCTTTAAACATCTTAAGAAAAAATGTTAGAATCCCAAAGGGATCTTACATTTGAGTTCTTGTGTAATCTGTTTTGCTAGAAGCTTTCAAATATATATATTTTTGAAGCCACAGGATACAGCCCCAGGGTGAGGCCTTGGGTTCCTATCAGCAGCCCCTCAAGGCTCTGGGTGCATCAATACTTTTCATCTGGAGCAGCTGTCCTTGAGGAACATGCCGTGGACACAGCTATCTGAGATGAGTAAGCCTCATCTCTGGCCAAAAGGAAACACACTGTGATTTGGGGTGTCTCTGTCTCAGGATGGGGCTTCCTCGGAGGCCTGAAGCCATGCGGGACGGCATCCTTTCCCTGGAAAGCGCTGAAATTGTCAATCTCGCTCACATTTGATCAGGGCTTGTCGCCTCTTCATGGCCCCCGCTGATGAAAGCAGGGCTGGCGCTGTTTCTGGAATTGATGTGAGGAATACTGCCCCCATCCCAGCCCTAGGAAGAAGCAATATCATTCTCCAGAGGCCTGTGCTCCTTCTGCACACCTCAAGGAGGTCACTTGAAGAGGTTACAAGGCCAGTGATTCCCAGCTGGCTTCTGCTGAGGGAAAGAGACTGATCTTGGAAGAATCAGACCAGGAGCCTGATGAGGAAAACCGAGGGACCCCAGTGTCAACTTCCACACAGGCTCTGAACTAGACGGAGCACGTAGCATGATTTAGCATGACAGAGACTAAATTCTAGCTCTGTCACCTTCGCAGTGAGACTAAAAAATGTCTTCCCTCTCTGAGCCTTGGGTTTGACTTCTGTAAACCACGGGTAATAAATAATGCCCTTGTTCGATGCCCATAAAGATTGAATTGAATTGGGGCCAGGCTCACTCCTGTAATCCCAGCATCTTTCTTCAGAAGGAAGAAAGCATAATCTATAGGCTGGCTGGCTCTACGCAGCAGCAGGCATCACAGGGGGTTTTTGTCTGCCTTTGCTTCTGAAGGTTAACCCACTACCTATTGAGAGAGGCCAGGTCAGTCTCTCTCTCTCTCTCTCTCTTTGTCTCTGTGTGTGTGTGTGTGTGTCTTTTTCCCTGGGGTGGGCATTTTCATTCAGGCAGGTGGCACCCTGCCCAAGGAGCATGGATCACTTAAGGCCAGATTTCGAGACTAGCCTGACCTACATGGCGAAACCCTGTCTCTACTAAAAATACAAAAATTAGCTGGGCGTGATGGCACACACCTGGAATCCCAGCTACTCAGGAGGCTGGAGGCACGAAAATCACTTGAACCCAGGGGACAGAGTTGCAGTGAGCCAAGATTGTGCCACTGCACTCCAGCCTGTCTGGAAAAAAAAAAAAGAAAGAAAGAAAGAAGAAAAGAAAAAGAATGAATTAGATAATGAGCCAAAGCATCTCAAGATTTGCACCCAAGACTCATCAGTTCCCTTGCCCCTGCTGTCAAATTAATTGCAGTTTACTCGTAGAGGTAAAGAGGGTGCCCAGAGCAAAGGGACTGAACCAGATAACTCAAGGTAATCACCCAGTGGATGATGCGGGCTGCAAGCCCGAGGGGTTAGGTGACTTGGTCTGGACTTAAAATGGGGACAGGGAATTAGATACCAGCATTCATTTTTCTGATTTACAAATCCTTTCCTGCATAAAACTCTTCCAAGGCACATATGTGAACATACACAGTTATGCTTCAGCTGGTCCCTCCCATTCAGAGACTCCAACCAATGGCACACAGGCTGTTTAGGGAGAAGAGGTTATTCTGTGGCATGGGTGGCTCTGCAGAGGTGGGTGCCATGCCAGGTCCCATGGGAGGGTATGTTCCCAGCGAAGAGTTTAGAGCAAAGACCTGCTCAAGTTACACTAGGGGTGAGGTTCCTTCTCGAAGGCACCCTCAAGCAACTGCTCACTGGAAGCAGGAGAGGAAGCAGCTCAGCCCTGAAGGCTGCAAGAGCTCAGCAGTGCCTACTGCCTTTGCTGACCTTTGAAGGTGGGCAGTTATGGCAGGAGGGAAATGATTTCGCCGAGGCCAAGACATGGAACTGTAGGACGCACAGATCCAACCGTTAACCAGATTCAGAGAGTGTCAGGCCGGCACTGGGGCAGCCGCAGGAAGCCAAAACCACACCCGGCACCACCTTCCTCCTTTCTGAGAAAGGCCATCAAAGCAATATGAGAGGAGCTGGCACGAGGGAGTGATCCTCATTCGATACAGGAGAGTTCTAGCCTGGGTACTTCAGGGCTACAGTTCTGCTTGGAGAAAACACTGCCGGCCAGGCGGGGTGGCTCACGCCTGAAATCCCAGCACTTTGGGAGGCCAAGGCAGGCAGAACACCTGAGGTCGGGAGTTCAAGACCAGCCTGACCAACATGGAGAAACCCCATCTCTACTAAAAGTACAAAATTAGCCAGGTATGGTGACGTATGCCTATAATTCCAGCACTTTGGGAGGCCGAGGCGGGCAGATCACCTGAGGTTGGGAGTTTGAGATCAGCCTGACCAATTATGAGAAACCCCGTCTCTACTAAAAGTGCAAAATTAGCCAGGTATGGGTGGTACGCGCCTGTAATCCCAGCTACTCGGGAGGCTGAGGCAGGAGAATCACTTGAATCTGGGAGGCGGAGGTTGCGGTAAGCCGAGACCGCACCATTGCTCTCCGGCCTGGGCAAAAAGAGCAAAACTCCGTCTCAAAAAAAAGAAAAAAAAAAGAGAGAGAGACAGAAGACACTGTCTGTCCAACTCTTCCCTCAAGACCATTCCTCACTCAAACCCCTTCCGCCCTCACCTGGCCATCCCTGACAAGATTCTCAATCTTGGCCCACACCTCCCACTGACACCTCTCAGATCATGAAGTTACCCGTTACTCCAGTTTCTGGTCAAATCCACCCCTACCAGGATGATCATTACAGCCAAGATCATCAGAACACGTACTGCATGCTGGACACCGTTCTCCGCTCCATACGGAGGAGGACCTGACTTTGATAAATGGTCACGATGACACGCTGGGATACATGCTGTCCCATTTTACAGATAAGAAAACTGAGGTTTCTCAAGATTAAGTAACCTCCCACGATTGTGCAACCAGAGCTCCTGCTCTGTGCCATCGGGCCATGCGTGGCTCACCTTCTTCTGGGCTTTGGACCAGATCCCCGAATACATATGTGACTCTGTCATCTATCAGTTGTGTGACATCAGACAAAGCACTTCATCTCTCTAAAACTTCACTTCTTCCTCTCCAACAGGGGATCATAACAATACCTGCCTGAATGAAAATGCCCACCTCAGGGAAAAAGATACACACACATACACACACACACACACACACACACACCCCGACCTGGCCCCTCTAAATAGGTAGTGGGTTAACCTTCAGAAACAAAAGCAGACAAAAACCTCTTGTGATACCTGTTGCTGTGTACAGCCAGCCAGCATATAGATTTTGTTTTCTTCCTTCTGAAGGAAGAGGCTTAAAAGAAGAAAACTTAGGAAAGGGCCTGGTTGGATAACAGAGCACCCAGGAACAGCAGTTAAAACCAAACAGAACTCTCTGATCTTGTTTCTAGCCCAACCGCATCTGGCCCCAGGAGCAACCAAAGTGGAGACTGCCTAAGCAATTACCAAATTTTATCAGTTCCACCCCAGCTCCAGGCTCTCCAAAAACCCATTGACAAGTCAAAGCCAAGAATTTAGCAGCTTCTCAACTCTTCCCCACACACCTGGAGGTAGACCCTTATCCCAGGGAACAAAGTCTTCATCCTGTTAGAAATCTATGAAAGGAACATGTAAACAAAGGTTGCAGAGATAAGGAAGCCTGCCATGAAGGAGTCAGTTTGGAATCTCCAGCCCAGAAATTGGGAGAAATGTTCCTATTCACTCCTTCCTGACCTAAGACCATGTCGGGAGTCCCTAAACAAAGGCTGGCCATCTCTTTTGCCTCTATCTTTGGCAAACCTATTTCAACGATCACTGAGGCACTTTCAGACCAATTTCTTTCCATTCAGAGAGAGCCCAGACCATCCTCGGGAGGAAGACACCCAGAGGGAAGGCTTCCAGGGCCCAATGCCTCAGCAGTCCCCACCCCAGTCCCCACCACCACACTGGTGGCTTGATGAAGATGAGGATGAGGCTGTCT